AGACAGGCGCCGGCTCTGCCCTTCCCATGGGATGCGCGGATGGAGCTCCTGACCCCGGCCTGCCGTGGGGACCAGGTCCCTTTTACACCAGCCCCAAACGCTTCAGATTCCGTTAGCGAGCCCGTTTTGGGGGCTTTTCCAAGCTTTCCACTGACCACCCCCCGTGCTGGCGAGCGTCCCCCCGCCCCGCTGCAGCGAGCGGCTCCCTCCTGTGCGAGCGGAGCATCCCAGCCTTTCCGGGCAGCCGGCACATGCGCCGGGGCTTCCCGCCCGCCGGGCCGGGAGCTCCTCCGAGCGCTCCGTGTCCTCGAAAGGAAGAGCCGGACCGTGCCCGGCGTGACCCGCGGCACCGCAGCACTTTCGCTTCCTCTTTCACCCCTCCAGACATTTCCCCTTTTTCTTTCCTTTGGAATTTTACTGATTTCTCACGCAGGCGAGCTGTGCATTTCCAAGCCCCYGGCCCATCCGCTGGCGCCAGAGGCACCTTGGAGCACTCATCCCACTCCATGCAAGAGGGAACATCCCGGTGCTCCRCAGGGTTTGGGAAAGCATCCGCTGCGTGCGCCTGAATCCTCTGCAAGGGAGAGAATCGCGCCTGAATCCCCTGCAAGGGAGAGAATCGCTGCTTCCCGGGGTGTTCTCCACCTTTGGGCACCCGGGAGGAGCTTCCTTGTCCTTAGGTGCTCCATAACCTTTCCATGAATAGCTGCTTTTGTCCGTGCGCGTCTTTCTCCGCGCGGCATCGGGGTTCACTCCTCGCTTGCTCCGGCAGCCCCGCTCCTCCGCTCACTTGTTTAAATAGAGCATAAAGCGCAAACTGTTCTTTGAATATTTATGACCAGTTTTTATCTCATGCCATGCATACAAAACATACTTGATTTCTTTCCTAAAAGTTTTTTCCAAGTGCAAAGTTTTAAAAACATGTGGCTTTTATTGCAGGCAGGAATGAATAACAGCATTCCTCCCGTAACCACATTAAATGGAACAGTAATATTCATATGCGTAAGGGCAAAAGCTGCCTTGTTTCCTATTTGCAGTCGAATCCTGAAATTAATTAAGGACGAAAAGGATCTGACAGTCGTTAGGAGCCTTTGGAGAGGAGGGAAGCGGCAGCCGGCACCGGCGCTCCGGCACGCTCGCCCGCGCTATCAATAGCGCCGCGGATGCGCGTCCCGAGCACGCTCGGCACGGGGCCCGGCTGCAGCGCCCGCCGCTTTCGTGACTGCCCCGCCGCGAGGTGCACGTCAGCCGCCCTCGTGCTGCCGAGGCGCGCCGGATAACCCTTCGGAGCCCAGGGAGCTGCCTGGGTCCTTGCGAGTCCTCCGGAGGATGGGGAGCAAAAGGAAAGGGGATTTCATGATGATCTTTCCTGGCACGCTCCTAAACTCCATCTCGAGCCTTCCTCCTCCTCTTGCCCCAAGCAAGGTGCCAGGGCGGCCAGTGCATAAGACCGGGTGGCCCCAGGCTGTCGTGGTCCCCGAGGGGTTAACGTGTGTCCTGGTGCACGGTGGCAGCTCCGACCGGAGCAGGTGCCAAGCTCCTTCCCTGCACGGGGCACTCGGCACCGTCCCGGCACCGCCACCGCTGGAGCGGCCAGCGGGACAGTTCCCAAGCTGCCCTCTCACCCATCAAGTTATATTCGGGCCAGAAAGCRCTTTTTCTCCCCCCATCTCATGCTTTCACCCTGAGCCCCGTGCATGGAAGCCTGTGGCACTCAGGGGTTAATAAGTGTCACCGTGGTGCTGCCGCTCGGCCCCGGCATCTGCTGGGTGATTTATGAATGGATCGCACGCTCACTCGCTGCGTGCCGCGCACGGAACCCGGCCCCGCGCTGCAAAGCGGATCCAGACGCCCGGCCCCACGGAGCGCGTGGCTCCGGAGAGCTCGGAGCTGGAGCGCGCGATGGATTTTTAATAGAAAGCTTCCTACCCGGCTCTGCCTTTGCTTCCTCGACGTGGGAGCGAGCTGGTCGGTCGCAAAAGAGCAGCTCAAGTGAATTAGAAGCTCCCGAGGAGACTTTGGGGACCGTAATTCCCATGAGGGAAGGTTGGAAGCGCATCTGCCCTCCCTGAAATGTGCACAGTAGCTCTCGGGTGTTTGCAAGGGGGCCTGTGCAAATCCTGGGTCTTACCGGCCCTGATGGATTCCTGGAGCGCGGGGAGGGCGGCAGGGGGATATTCCCACGTGTTGACAACTCCTGGGGTGCAGGGGGGGAGTGGAGTGGCAGGAAGGGAATTTGCTCCCGTCAGCAAGGGAAGAGGCAAATTCATGGCAGTGAGAGGGTAGGGATAAGGCTGGGATGTGCCCGCGCTGGCACCCGGACTCTGCAGCCTCRGAAGGAAGGGATGCGGCCGGCCCCAGTGGGACCCAGCAGGGCCTGGCCCACCCGCACGGCCACCAGGGTGACGGGGGGCACTGCCACCCCCGGCCGGCACCCGACAAGGGGCCGAGGGGGATGGCGTGAGCTGCGGCAGGTGCTGAGCTCAACACCCGCTGCCTGTGGCTGCAGCTTCTTCTCGCTCTGCGGCTGCCAGAAACAGGAAGAGAGAAGCGGCCACCTCGGCTGCGCGTCACAGCGGTTGGGGCTGGCGGGGATGAAGGGGCTGAGGCGACATGGGCGGCTGGCCAGGCTCTGCGGGGACAGCGCGTTTTAGGAAGAGCGCCTTTAAAAGGCAGGGGGGGGTTAGGGGAAAAAAAAAAAAAGAAAAAAAAGGAAGAAAGAAAGAATGAATGGAAAAAAAAAAAGTGCAGGATGTCAGGAAATTTGAATAAATGAATCTGGAAGAGAGCAGGGGACAACGGTGCTGGGAAGCAGAGAGGCAGCTCGGGGCCCTGTGATCTGTCCGGCCTGCAGTCCCTCATGCCAGTGGCCCCTTTGCTGCCCATGACAGAGGGGCAGCAGGACTGGGACTTTACCAACCGCCCGCGTAAAACCTGTCTGGCCGCCCCGTCCCACCGCGCCTCGGGGGAGCTGGGGGGACAGGGGCCGGCGGAGGGCGAGAGGGACCCGCCGTGTCTCGGCCCGGGGGCGGCAGGGCCCGGCCCGGGGGGGTGTCCGGGCCGCCCCGTCGCGCCCGCCCCGTCGCTCGGCCGCGGGACGACGCTGCGGCGCCAACTAGCGGCGGCTCCGCCGCACTGCAGCGCCGCGCCCGCCGACGGCGCGCACTGCGCACGCGCGGTGCTCCCCCCCTATCACCCCCCGACTGCCCGGGGAGTACCGGGGGGCTCGGAGGGGAGCGGGGGGCTCGGCGGGTCGGGATCGGCAGGGGGGACTCGGCGGATCGGGCCCCCCCGCCGGGAGCTTCTCCCCGCGGGCGAGACGCAGCGAGCCCGAGTAGGCGCCTCCTGCGCCGCTAAATAAAAGGGGTGGGGGGGCAAAAAATAAAAATAAACGGCGCGGCCCCGGTGCCCAGCGCGCTTTCACCTAAAAAGGGAAGGATTTCGGCGCGCCGCGCTTCAAATCGCAGCGGGGAGGCAGCCCGACGTGCGCGCCGCCGCCGCCGGGGCTGCCCGGTGGTTACGGGGCACCGCGGCGAGGCAACCGCTGCTCCTCCTCCCCTTCCTCCCGCCTGGTTTAATTCATTTTCTTATTCTTTTTCTTTTCTTTTTTTTTTTTTCTTTTTTATTTCTTTTTTTTTTCTTTTGGACCGACGCGGTTCTTTTCGTTTCCTTCACCTTGGAGCTGCCGCCGCAGCCGCGCTCGGTGGTGGCGCCGAGGGAGGAAAATCCTCCCTTCGTTTGTGGGGAGGTTTGCGGTGGAAAGAGGGATTGTGTTTTAACTTTGAAGACAGTTTAAAACGGACGAGCTCCCCGCGCCGCCTGCTCTTGCACGGGCAAAAGTGGCGGAAACTCGGGCGAGCGCCGTGGGGCTCTGGAGACCAGTCCGCACGGCGCGTTACGCGGAGCGGGGGAAGCGTCTCGCGCGCGGCACGCGCGGGCAGCGGGACTGCGCGCTGAGAACGCGCGCTCTCGTGACAGCGGCGGCCCTCAGACCCGCGCTGCAGCGCGGGGAGCCGCGGCCCTCCGCCAGCCGCGGCCGCGCGTCCCGGGGCGCGTTTCSTTGCAGCGAAGCCGCTGCGCGTCCACGCAGCCAAACCGCGGCCGGCAGCTCCGCTCCGGCTCCGCGGGACACTGCGACCCGGTTCGTTTCTTTCCRGGGGGCCGGCGAGGCGCGGAGCGGTTCAGCGGCTCCCCGTCGGCGATGCAGAGCCCGGGGCCGGTTGGCCGCGCTCCGCAGGSGGACGCGGGCGCTGCGGCACCTCCGAACTCCAAAACACTCCATCTCGCCCCCAAACCAACCCACTCCCCCTTCCCACCCGCGACCACCGCGGCCGCCGCCGGCCCCGCGCCCCTAATAAGGCACCGCGACCCCGACGTGCGCCCGCCCCGCCGGTGCCAGCCCAGCGGGGCGTGGTCATCTTGAGACCACGCCTCCCTCCTGATATACCCCGCCCTTTCTCTACGAGGCCCCGCCCCTCGTGTCGGCGGATCGGACTGGTGGGCGGGGACAAGGGCCCGCCCATGCGAGCCATTGGCGAGTGGAGCCGCCTGTCAGGCCGGTGCCCGCCCCCCCGGGGCCGGCAGTAAATACGGTACCGAGCGGCGCAGCTGACACTTGGGAGCCGCTTTCGGGGCCGCCCGGCGCAGGGACCGAGGGCACCGGCCGCGACGTGGCTCTGTCCGCCGGCGCCGCCTCAGCCCGCGCTCCGCGGACGGGGCAGTAGCGAGGCCGCCACCGCCACAAGGGGCCACCGACACGTCCCGAGGAGCCGGGCGAGCCCCGGTTCCCCCATCCCGAGCCCGCCTGGCCGCTCTCTGCTCGCCGCCTCCCCGCGGAGGACGGAAATCTGCCGGCACGGAGCGCGGCAGCGCGGGGCCGCCCAGCCGCCGCCCCCGTGGTCACCGGGGGCCCCCGCCGCGGTGCCCCGACGCCCCCGCCGCTGCGGGAGCCCCGTCGGCGCGGCCCCGCGCCCCTCCTCGCGCCCTCCGGCTGCGGCGGCTCCGTGCCGCCCGCTGTTGTGATGCGTATTCCCGTAGACCCGAGCACCAGCAGGCGCTTCACCCCCCCCTCCACGGCCTTCCCCTGCGGTAAGATGGGCGAGAACAGCGGGGCGCTGGGGGCCCCCGCGCCCGGCGCCCGCGCGCGCCCCGAGGTCCGCTCCGTCGTGGATGTCCTGGCCGACCACGCCGGCGAGTTGGTGCGCACCGACAGCCCCAACTTCTTGTGCTCCGTGCTGCCCTCGCACTGGAGGTGCAACAAAACGCTGCCCGTGGCCTTCAAGGTAAGACGGGGACGGTCGCGGCTCCCCGCAGSGCGGCATGAGGTGGGGGGCTCGGCCTCGGGACGGCGGAGGTGCCCCCTACCCCCTCCCTGCCCCCTCGCCCTTTCCCCTCCGCCCCTTTTCGTTTGGACGTGCTCCTGACATCACCGTCAAGGGAGCTTCGTTTTATTATTTTTAATCAAGGCTTCGCATTGCCCCGCGGTCACAGCGTCTTAGATATTCCGTACAGTTAGGAGCTCTCGGGCAACTTTGAAGTTTTTAATGAGAGCGGAGGTTAATTAACCTTCCCGGGCGAGGGAGCGAGGCAGCGCAAGGCAGATCTAATCTGCGCGGAGAAGAGAGCGCGAAGCTGCCGCGGCGGCCCCGCGCTGCGCGGCCGGGGCTCCCCGCGCCCGCCCGGCTGCGGCTCCGCGGGGTCGGCGCGGCCCGACGGGACCTCCCGGCGCCGGGATCGAGGAGGGCGGGCGGCGGCGGCTCCTTCCCGGGGAGCCCGGGACGTCGGGGGTGGGTGTGGGGGCGTCGGTTGGGTAAAGCGTGACTCTTGGGGCGCCGCTGGCCGGGCCGGGAGGAGGTTACAAGGCCGGGGGGGTCCAGTCGGGTTCCCTCCGGCTCCCCTTCCCTCTCCGCAGCGCTACTGCGGGCCGGGCCCGGCTCCGGCTCATTGCGGACGTCTCGCACTCGCGGGGCTTTTTATTTTTTATTTTTTTCTGCGCATTAAACAAAATAAAAGCGAAAGCTGCGGCCCCAGCTCCATGGCGGACCCTCGCCCCCCGGGGAAGAGTCTGGGGTCTTTTAACCCCCTCTTATTATTATTATTATTATTATTATTATTTTGTCAATCTCGGTCCCCTCCCTTCCTCTTCGCCGGTTTGCATGGTGAACCAGCTTCCTCGGGGCCGCGCATTGGTTTTGGTTTGGTTTTGTCTTTTAGGTTTTTGTGTGTGGTGGTGGGGGGAATGGTAGGACAGGTTAGCTCAGGCCGCAATTAATTTTAGCCTAAAAAAATTCTCTCGTCCTCCTGCTAGGTCGTAGCCCTCGGAGACGTCCCCGATGGGACGGTGGTGACAGTAATGGCCGGGAATGATGAGAATTACTCCGCAGAGCTCCGCAATGCCTCCGCCGTGATGAAAAACCAAGTGGCGAGGTTTAACGACCTCCGGTTTGTTGGGAGAAGCGGCAGGGGTAGGTATGGGCCGGAAATGGTCGGCCTTTTTTTTTTTATTATTTTATTTTTATTATTATTGTTATCATTATTATGCCATTTGGAAGGGTCGTTTTATTTCGCTTTAACGGCGGTTTCCGCGCTCGCCGCCGCAGGTGCTTTGGTCGCCGCGGGTGCGGGAGGAAAGCAGAGAGCGCGTCCCGATATTTGGCAGCCCCAATGTTTTGGGAATCTTCGGGAGACTCCCGAGGGCGAGCAGCAGGTGAAGGCACTCGGGGCTGGATGCGGCTGGGAGCCCGCCCGGGAGTGCTGGAATTGCTGGAAGGGGCGGGCGCGCAGCGGAGCAGGGACTCCCATTCCGTCATTTCACCTGAATTTCAAATTCTATTTATCCCCTTCCAGCATTTCCCACACTGCAGATTGGGGCACTTAGAGCGTTCTTATTTTTTTTCCCCTAAATGAGTAATTATTTTAATGGTCGTACGGCGGCATTTTCTCAAGGTACTCAAACGTGTGTCTATAGAATGTCGGGGACATTTCGACTTCTCTGCATTAATTAAAAGCAGCGATGTTACGAATTATTTGCATGTAATAACTGTTTACTTGTTCCTTTTTATGAAACTTGAATAGTTTACATTCTTTCATACATTTCCTTTTTCCTGTTGGCTCCTTCTCCAAGTTGCAGTTTCTTTAAAACTCTCCACTTAACTGGTTGCAGGTTGATGGGTGGAAAATGTTTTTTCTTTTATGAATTAAGCTTTCATTTCTGTAATCAATTATTCTCTTGGGCTCTCTTCTTTCTCTCTCTCTTTCTTTTTTTYCCCCTTCATTCTCCTTGCACAAATTTGCAAGCTGAATGCAACTCAATCTCAGTTTGACTCTTGAATTCATTATTAACGGCTCCCGGTTCCTCCGCGGCCCCGTGCTTCAGTGCTGAAATAATAGTAGTTTGCGGGCTCCCGAAAGCGCCTTCCTCCATCTGAGACCTGTCTAATGCTCATGACAGTAGTGGGAGCACCTGCTCGGGCTCGGGGGAGGTGGCTGAGCCCCCTCGGCCGTGTCCAGCCCGAGGACGTGGGTCAAGAGGAGCAGCCCCGCAAGTGCAACCAAAATGCAAATTTCTTTTTGCCCTCTTGCGGAGGGCGCTTTGAGAAGCGGCACGAAAATAGCTCGTTCGCGGAGCTGATGCGAAACCCGGGCCGCGCGTGTGGTCGTCTCGGCGGGAACGGCCGAGCCCTCCCGGGGAGGAGCTCGGCCGCACCGCCCGGGCAGACCCTGCAGCGACTTTGGGGCGAAAATCGTTTCCATTGAGCCTTTTTTATTTTTTTTTTATTATTATTTTTTTTAGTCCGGGTGCGCAGTTGCTTTCTTGTATTTGCCGTCTCGATCTCAGGAAGCCCCGGGCTGCTTTCGTTTTTTTTTTTTCTGGCAAAAATCGTCATTTGCTTCAAAACGCTTTGRCGGAGCCGCGGGTGTAAATGCGTCGCGGGGAGGTGCGCGAAGCTGCAGGACTCTGCGAAACCGCAACCAAATCTAGGCTCCCTCTTGCAAAAAAAAACGAGTTGCGAGGGGGCAGGACTGGGCGCTTGTATTTTGGCTGTTTGTAGTAGTCAGCTCCTGGGCATGTGAGAATCAGCGGGGAGAGCAGGTCCTTATGTGCTCCCCCTCTTTCTAAAATTCTCGTGTGCAAGGGGAGGGGAGAAGCTTGAGCTTCCCCTTTTTGCACAGCAGCAAAGAGCTTTCTTAAAGAGATTTTTTTTTTCCCTTTTCCTCTCTTTTTGCTCTCTCTTCCCCTTTGCTCCGAGCCTCGGGGCTCGCGTTGCGCCGCGTAAAGCGAAAGCGCAGCGCGGAGCCCGGGGCATCCCCGGGAGCGCCGCATCCCGCCCGCTGGGACGAGCCCCCCGCTCGCTTCCCCGGAAGGCGAGAAATGAGTAAATTAAAAAAAAAAAATTAAAAAAAAAAAAAAGAGATGGGGGGGGAAGGAAAGAAAAGCAAAACGGGGCTGAGTAATAATCGTCATCCTCGATGCATGGGAGAGGATTTCGGAGAGGAGGCGAAATGCCCCATTCGGCTCCCACGGAGTGGGAGCAAAGGGGGTGCGGGGGAAGCCCGAGGTGCCCCGGGCCGCGCGGGCGCCGGAGCCCCGCGAGCAGCCCGCGGTTCCCGGAGCAGACGGGAACGGAGCGGGCTCTGCTGCTCGCCCTGCCCTGCGCGGAGCCGCCGCTCCCCGCGCCCGCTCCTGCTGCACACGTTTCGCTTCCGAATTAAATCTGGCTTGGAAGGGGAAAAGAAAAATAGATCTGAAGGCTCTGGCGTGGTTTTTGGTCCTGCTTTAAGAGCTTCGTGGGGCATGAAGGGGGCTGGTTCCCATGAATGCTGCTCCCTGTCTCCTTCAAAGCCAGTGTTTTTTCCCCCTGCAATGCTTGGGTAAGGAAATTTCTCCGCCTAGGATAATTGCAGGATGTTTTCTGAAAGAAATATTCAAGATTTTTTTTTTTTTCTGCTCGTTCTTGCTGTGCAAATAGTCATGGCCACGGGGTAGCGGAGACGCTGGACACATGCAGCCCTTGCGGGCAGCAAGCCGGATGCCTGGGCCCATCCCAGAGTGCTGGGAGAAGTCTGGCAGGAGCTGGGGGTCTCCTTCAAACACTTATTTGGTTGCTCCACATCTGGAGCTGCTATGGCAACTGAAACGCCCATTTTTAGGCACAAAATGCCATGTTTGCTTGAGAAGCCACCTCAGCAGACCTCTCCTCATGGCAATCCCAGCATGGTGTGTTTGGGGTGATAGCTGTGGGAAAATAACATTCTGTAAAATTAATAGAGGTGCTGGGGTGAGTCCCTTGCGGAATTGCTGCAACTCATGTAAAAACGCTCTTTCCTCTGTTTTCTCCCYGCTCCTTCCTCAACCTCCTGTAGGGAAAAGCTTCACCCTGACCATCACAGTGTTCACGAACCCCACGCAAGTGGCCACCTACCACCGAGCCATCAAAGTGACCGTGGACGGGCCGCGGGAGCCACGCAGTAAGTGCCGTGCGGCTGGGGCGCTTCCTGGGGCGCGCGGGCAAAACGCCACAGGAGCAGGGACGGCTCTGGGATGGAGCCGCAAAACCCACCGGAGTGTCTCCCAGGGCTGCAAGGTCAGCCACGCTCGGCCTTGTTTTCCCCGGGATTTGAGGAGCATGGGAAAATCCACGGGCCGTGAAGCCCGGCTTGTTCCCGTGGCGGGTGAAGCTGTCGTGCCGGAGGGAAGTGGCGCGATCCCGCTAGAGACGTGGCGGAAAGCGCTTTCCGTTGCTGCTGCCCTTGATGTGGGGCCAGGCCACGCGCTGGCTGCCCGGGGCTCTCCGCACAAGCCTTCCATTTGGCTTGKTTGTGTCGGATTTTTTTATTTATCTTTTCTTTCCCTGCACGATTTTTATTTTGGGCTGCAGCTCTTACTTGCAAAGTGGGTGCCCAGCTCTGGCCAGGGTGCATTTTTTTTTTTTTTAATTTATTCCCTTTTTTATTAACATGAGATACGAGCAGCACCGATGCTGGCTCTTCAGGACTTTGGAGATGGAAAGGGGGTGGAAAATCCCATGGGATTTGGGGGCTGAGAGTTTCGCAACGGCGCCGAGTCAGGAATAGCAACTGGGTCTCCCGGCTCCTATCTGCTGCATCGGTGGCCTTTCTAATAACCATAATCACTGCCGTCCTCGGGGACGCGTAAATAGTAATCGAGGGGCGACAGCGGCCGCGCGGTCGGATTGTGCCGGCTCTGCCGGCCTTTCGCCCCAGCTGAATCACTCTGTTTCGACATGTCGTGCCGCCGCCGCCGGGCTTGGCTTGGAGATACGGAGCCCAAAGGCTCCCTGGCTGGGCCATGGGCTCTCCCTGGTGCCGGCATCCCGGCTCCCATTGGTGTTAGGGACAAGTGGCTTCTTCTGCTGGGAAAAATCCACTCGCGAGGAAAGGGCTGCTTGCCCTGGAGCTGGGAATATCTCTGGGCACCGGCTGCTCCAGCGCATGTTCCCCTGGCACTGCTGCCGCGTCCCCTTCATCTCCCACCACCCAGTYGCTTGCTTCATCCTGGTCCTGGAGGGAAACCTCTTGGCCTGATCTGGTCCCATAAACACTTAGGATTTGGGGAAGGAGGCAAAAATTGGGTGTCTGGGTGCCCCGTGGTGCCACATTGGGCACTACCGAAGCGTCGTGGTAGCCCTGCTCTTCCAGCCTTGCTCTGCAGCCCCCTGGTGCTTGCTCCAYTTCTGATTTTCTAATTCATGTTGTTTGTTATTATGTTTGGATGGGCCCCAGCTGGGGAGGAAAAGGGCATTTCTTCAAGCTGACACCTTGCGCTGCAGCGCGCGCCGCGCCGGGTGCCGCGCTGACATGCTTTGTGCAAACAGGAAGCAATAAAATACTTCAACTTCCTGGGGAATTTCCTCCTTTTTTACTATTTTCTCCTCTCGGCCGGTCTCGAGCGCAGCCCAGCGCACTGCCCTCCTGCCGTTGCTCGCAGAATCCCTGCAGSGAACAGCAGCAAACACAGCCGGGCTCTTTTTCCTCCTTTTTCTCCCTCTTCTTCAGCATTATTCCTCTCCTTTTCTTCCGCTTTTGCCCCCCTTTTCCCGCAATGTCGCGAGGGAAGCTGAGCCCAAGCAAACTCCTCTCACGCTCCGGGTCATGCAGAGACCCCGCAGCCCCCGGGGCGCTCGCCCAGGGTAAAACCCCCCTCCTGCGGGCGCTGCCCGGGCTGGCGGCCCCTCCACGGGCCTGCCTTATCYGCGCGCCGGTTTTCCTCCCTTAACAGCTTCGACACCATAAAAAGGACAAAACGACGTGTTTAATGCGCCGTGCAGCCAGTCGTTCCCTCGCTCACTGGTGGGCTGTAATTTTCCTTATTTTTCTTCCAGTGTCGCGGGGCGCTGGCTGCATTTCCGAGCCCTTGCAGCCAGGAGCAGCTCTCAAGGGCTCCCTGTTTGCTCCGATTAGAGGGGATAAAGCAAGGATGGGATGAAGCATTCCGGCCTCCTGGGGTTTTGGGGACTCTGAGTGCCGGTTTAGCTGGTTTAGAGCCTAAAAAAGCCAGCAATGAGACCTGAAGGATCATTATATTATCCCATAGTCTTGCTTAGAYTACTATCCCATAGTCTGGATACAGAGCCAGGGACGTTGCCCATCTCTATCCTGGCAAGGAGGGTCAGTGCTTGGAAGCAGCCTGAAGTGCTCCCATGGCTCAGGGGTTTGGGTAGTAATTGGGTTTTTGTTGTTTTCTTGTTTTTTCTTCCCCACTGGCCCTCTGAAGCTGGTTATAAATAGGCAAATGTTTCCCGGGTTGTCCGGGAACAATAACAAGAAGAAAGGGAAATGGTGCCGAAAAAAGAGGCAAGATAGATAAATAAATCCAATAAGATCAYTTAAGTAAGTGCATGACCTCACCGTCTCCTGGACAGTTACTTGTTGGTGTAAAATCACTGTAATTTATTCTAAYTGAAAGCGTGGTCCCTGAACATATGCCGCTTTTTGCTGCTTCCGAGCCCTGCTGCCTTCCTCGGGGAGGAAAGGGGAAGTCTCTGCTTCCTTGGGAGCCGCTCGCTCCTGCTGGGAGCGCGATGGTGCTCGGGGCGCTTTTCCCTGCCGGGTGCCACGGGGGTGCCAGGGGGGTCCCCAGGGTGCAGCCCCCGTGCYGGGAGGCACCCAGCTCTCTGCTGCAGGATCGCGCCGTGTCTTGCACTAACCCTGTCTGGCCTTAAACGTATTAACCGGCCAGCCCAAATTACCCAGGCTCCAGTAAATTCCCTCCTTTAATTACTTTATTTGCTGCATACAGTAAATTCCACCTCTCCTTTTATAATCGCCCAGTGCATAATAACTGCAAAAATCATTTCACTTAAAAAGGCCCAATATTTTCTAAGCAAAGCTGCGCTGGGGAGTCAGAACAGGGGAATTATTTTTTTTTTTTTTGCTTGCGCTGTACAAAGCAATCCTTGTTTAAATGGGTTGCGACACCTCCCGCCTGGGAAAGCTTTGGAAAACCCCGGGGGCACAATTCTCCACTGGGGTAAAATGGGCAGAGCTGCTCTGGCTTTGGGGGAGAAAAATCATAATTGGGGATGTCAGTGTTCTGTGAGAGAAGGAATATTTGCAAGGGATGGAGCCGCTGGAAAGGGAGGCAGCGGGATGTCCCGGGATTCCCTGTGATGCTCCCAGGTTTGGTTCCTTCTGGAAGGCCTGTGTCTCGTGCTCCGGGTGGGATGCACTGGTGGCAGAGGCGTGACGAGGGCACACAGATTCCCCGGCATCTCCCAGGTTTGTTCAGGTTTTGCTTCCGTCTGGCAGGATTTGCGAGCTCAGGAGCGTTGCGCGCGGCGCTGCATATTTAAAAGGAAAAAAAAGAGAAAAAGAGTCAATGCTAAAAGGAAAGTTTYATTTCAGGGAAGACAACAACTAAGGGACCAGAGCTATCAAACAAAACCACAAGATCRCATCAGATGTCAGGGCAGGACACGTCTCGTTTCTCCCTCTCGAAAGGGCTTATCAGTGCGACCAATCACTTTAATGATGTGGCGGAGGGAGGAAGAGGATTTGACTCAGAGYGAGATGAAATTTAGTTCCAAAGACCCCGCTCTTCCGCTGCTGGAGCCCAGTCACCTGCTCAGAAATCAGCCCGAGATAAATCACATCCTGCAGCGGAAGGTGCTTAGACATGATTTTGCATTATTTTATCGTACTCTTTCCAGTGAATCCGTATGTTGTCGTAGCAGAGAGGGCAGAAAGGCAGGGAACCTGGCGAGGAGAGGAGCTCGGTCGTTGTGCCGAGCACATCCCAAGCCCGCGGGCAACTCAGCTGCAGCCCTGTCCTAGCACAKAGGGGAGGCTGGAGGCTCCGCAGCCCTGGATCCTGGTCCACATCGTAGCTGCTCTGCCCGGCGCCCAGGCTGCCGCGCGGCGCGTTCCCGGCGCAGCTCCCAGCCCCGCTGCTGGCGCTGCACGTACCACGTAGAGGCTCCTTAACCCATGTCACCCCAAGGAATGTGATGCGTTTGCCCTACTGGAACAGGTTCCAGGAGCTGGGGAAAACCAGCCGTACTGGTAGCGCGCGGGTCCCGTTGCAGGTCGGGAGATAGCAGGCGATAACTTAGCGCTGCTGCGAGCCGGCGCACGTAGGGACGGCGCAGCCTCCGCTCCAGCCCTCTCATCTCAGGCCCGCGAAGCCTCCAGAGGCGGCTGCTCCCTCCCCAGCACCCGGCGTGAACCGGGTGTTTTCCTACTTCCACAGGATCGCAGCCCCAAGTTCCTGGAAGCGGGAGCAAGTGCAGAGAAGTCGGTGGGGCCGGTGGTTTTGCGTTTCCCCAGGGGTGCGCTCGCTTGCCACTTTGTGACACCCTTTGGGGGAAAATCTCAAAACTTCAATCACAGCTCAAAAAAAAAAAAGAAAAAACCCACCCCAGATTCAGCCTGCAGTCTCCAAGCTAGATTTTCAAAGGTTTCTAAGCACTGAAAGTTGCAGGAAAGAGCTCGGGGGAATTGTCAGCAGTGCCTCAGTAGACAGAGTGCTTCAATATAAAGACTTTTGTCCACTCTGCCTAAGGACCCCGCTAGGCACCTACCTGCACTCTAAAGTGTGCAAATATTACCAGAAATCCAGGAAGACTCAGTTTCCCTGCTGAAAACCTAGGAATGAGGAGCCCGTGTCCACCAGGGAGCTGCGCCTAAGGCTGCGCTCGATGTCCCTCTTGCTGCGAACGTGGGCCACGCTCTGCATCCCAGGAGCTTTTGGCAAAGCAGCCCTCAACTTCTGCTCCAACATCTGCATTAACGCCTGGCTTTGATTTCCTTCCAGAGGGAGGAGGCTGCTGCTGCGACRGAGGCCCCAGGAGCAGCCGCTGCCCTCGGAAGGTGCCTCCTTGGCACCCGTGCGGGCACGGGGAGGACCGGCAGCGAGGCCGAGGCAAAGCCAAGGGACTAACCCGCAAGCGAGAGCAGATTAGGAGCTCGCAAGAGCRGCTAATCAATACCAGGCCGCGTCTAACGAACCTCTCTCCCGCTGCTGCAGCTTCAGACAGTAAAAAACCTACTGTAAATGCAACATCTCTGGGCGCTTCCTGCCAGCTGGCCGCAAGCCAGCGCATTTCCTTCAAAAAGAGGGATATTTATTTTCATCCTTTTAGAGGCAGCCAATTCATCTCAGACCACCACGGCTAAAGAAGCCTTATAAATTAGCAACCTCTTTTTTTAATTCGTTCCCTCTTTCCCCCCGCCGTCCAATATTATTTTCCCCGGGTTGTCCCGGGCGCTGGGCCGCGGCGCGTTGCGACACGCTCCCCTTCGCGGGGCCGCCGCGAGACAGTAGCTGCAGTGTCTCACGAAAGCCGGAGGAAACCAAAGCAAAGACGCGCCGTGACCGATTCTCCTTCCAAATGGCGTAAGCAGGCCAGCTTCAAACGGGTGAAGAGCGAGTTATCTGTGCTCCACTTTGTTCGGCTCTAGAAGGGACGGTTCCCCCGAACGTTTTCGTCCTTTTGCTCCCTCCCGTGGACTTCTGCGCTTGGGTTTTGGATGTCGGTGGAGGTTGCGTGGGTGCTTGCCAGTCTCTGGCTCTCCCAGGAGCTCGGTGGAAATCTTCATCTTCCTCTGTAGAGACGTCAGGGTTGAGTCGCATCCAGCCGGGTTCCCACCGCCCTTCTCTCCTTCCCTCCCCTGTTTCAGCGGTCATAGGGCTCTCCACCAAATTCCTCTTGGCTGGAAGTGTTCCCATGCGGAGTCTTGAGCCAGAGGTGGGTTTCCAAGGGAAATCTGAGGGACGTTCCTCCGTGCTTTGCCTTAGAGGTGCGCAAAGATGAAAAGTGCCCCGGCATCTGCTCCAAGTGACAGGCCTGATGTTCCCACAACACGAGCGCTTCACATGTGGCTTCGTTCTGGAGCACATGCTGGGACTTGATGGGCCAGCGGAGGCTCAGACTGGGAACAAATTCAAGCCTCCGTGGAGGATTGGTGTGGCTCTCTGAAGTACCTATTTTGAGGGCTACGCGAGGCATTTGAAAGGTATGTTTTGTGTGCTGAGCTGAAGTTTTCTCCGCTGCCGCTCGCTTTCTTGTGGTCCGTTCTCATGGACATGTAGAGACGAAGCCATTAGGTTGTGTGCAGCACGGATTGCTCCCGGTGAGCTGCTTCCTTGGCTAAGCCGGAGGGTTTTGCTATTAATATTTGAGCAGCGCCTTGGGGGAGGGCCGGGAGCAGCCTCCGCTGCCGGAGCCGCACTTGAAAGGTGGACGCGTGGGGTGCAGCTGGTGGCTGCGCTCGGGCCGCTGCCGCGGCACGTCGGAGCGTTCCCCCAGACCCTGCTACCGTCTCCTCCTCAGCGGAGCGGAGGAAATGAGCTGCAAATGTGCGTGTTAATGAACATCCCGCCCCCCCAGCCGCGCCGCGCGGCGCTTCCTCCGCTCCAGCTTGCCGCCAGCAGCGCGCGGCGAGGCGCCCGCGAGGGCCAAGCCACTTCCCACCAGCTGCTCTCCCTTCCTTTGGCAGCCGGGGCTGCGGGAGGGGGACCGGGGCGAACGTGCCGCGCGGATCCCGGCCCGCCGAGGCGGGAGGCGGCCGCGGACGGCTCCGGCAGCAGCTCCATCTGCAGCCAGGCTAAAGCTGGCGACCAGCACGGCRGGGCTCGAGCAGATGGCCCCGGGCTCCGTGCTGGGCTGAGGAGCTGCCAGCTCAGGGTGGGTTTTTGGTGGCATTCAAGCCCTGAGTTTCCTAGAGCTGCTCTTCTGATGGAACTTCACATTTTGCGTCTTGGTAATTTAGGGAAATAAGCAGTTCTTGCTGAATGCTGTGCCCACCCCCACGCAGGCTGGAAAGCCCACGTAGGTTCCCGTTTCAGAGGCCCTGTCAGGTTGGGCCGTGGGGCGAGATAGAGCGGGCTCGGCTTGGCCTTTGAAGTGTTTTAGAGCAGAAAGCACATCTTTACGTCGGGGCTGTGAGGGCCCGAGTCTCCCCGCCGCATACACCGCTTCGCTGCCTGCCTTCCAAGGAAACACCCCCAACTTCCAACGTGCTTCTTGTTACTGGCCTAAAGTGTCACATTCACACCGCTTCTTCCAGCGGGGAAACGTTCAATGGGCTCGTTTGTGTGAGATGCTGATAGCGATCTTGTCGCTACATCGGGATCTAGAGAGATCTGTCCATGTTTACATCGTGTCATATAGAATATCAGCTGATTCAGAAACTCAAGCCGTCTTTGAGCCCCCTTCTCCGCTGACAAGAAATGCCTGGGGTCGGCAGCCACCATTGCCRTCTAGCAGTAAAGCCCGTCCTTTCTGTACATACCGCGCTGCAAGTGAGAGCTATGACGGGGCTGATGAAGAGGAGCAAACCCAGGAGAAAACCCATCGGAAAGTCTCCACGCTGGCCGCAGGTTGGGCGCACAAAGGTCGCCCGCCGGCGCGGTTAGCGCGTCTCCGGCCGGTTCTTGGGATGGGGCCTGGAGCCGCTTGAGGTCGATTGCRAAGCCGCCCACAGCCTTTGAGTCAGCGGAGTCAGAAACCACCGTCCTTCTCGCTGCCGCCGCTCCTCCGGCGGCGCTGGTTTCCTCTGCGTGCCGGTGCTGGCGAGACGGGCAGGGGAACGGCAGGAACCAGCAGCTCGGCTCCTTCCCAGGAGAGAAACCCGCTAAGAGCRGTTCTGCGTGACCAGCCCGGCATGCCTGGCCTTGGGGACAGCCAACAGGGAGTGCTGGGGAGACGCTGGGCGCCCTGCAAGCCTTGGAGCCGCTGGGTTTGACTCACTTGCTTCCTTGGGGTGTCGCAGCGCCGGTCGGCGCCGCCTGTACGGATGGAGCTCCGGCACTGCCGGTGTCACCAGAGAAAGTCCAGGCAGGGCCGGGAAAGTYGGCGTCGCTCCAGGGCTCCGCTCTGGGCTTGCCCCACCGGGCGAGCCGCTGTGTTTGCCCTCGCTTCGTGTCTCTTCTGCCTCCTTTTCACCCAGAGAGATTCAGCTTTGCGGGGTTGGCTTTTCAGCCCTTCTGCCAACCCCTACCTGAGAAGCTGCTTAAAGCAGAAACACAACCAATTTSCTACCTTGTGTGTTAAAATGCCAGTTAAAATAATAAACTGTGGGCCCCAACGAGCTGCTCACGTTCGGGAGCCCCTTGGATGACGCCAAAGTGCCTGAGGCGTGGGGACAGGCGGGGAGTAGGAGAGATCCTCTGTGATGCTGATTTGAGGTTTCCTTGGCTTGCTTCACACAGGAGGGAAAACGGGGAATTCAAATAGCGTCGAGTCTCGCTTTGTGTGGGGGATCCTTCAAGCGGAGCTTCGCTGCTGGGCGTCCGCCTGCTTCAGGCCAGTGAGGGCGCCCACGCAGGCGCTCGCAGCCCGGGGCAGGCCGGGCCGGACGCGGCGCCGCCGCTGCTGTGAGCCGTGCCGGGCACCGCCGCGCAGAGCGGGACCGGGACAGAGCCGCGGGACAGAGGGGAAGGGGCACCCGGCGCCTTCGCCCTGGGCTGGGGCCACTCCTGTCGGCGAGGCCCCGCAGGCCCAGCCGGGTCCCCATGGGAGGACATGACGAGGGACGCGCCGAGCTCCTCGCCGGCCCCTCTCGGCGCTTGGTGCCGGCCGCTTCGCCCCGGTGCCGCACGGCATGGTCGGCGAAGAGCACGGGCGACGCGAGGGCCGCGGCGGGCGCCGGGCACAGCCGCAGCGGCCCCGGCCTCCCTGGAGGCCCTCCAGCTTCGTGCGGGTGCAGCTGAGCCTGGATGCCGGCCCAGAGGGAGAACGAAGCCAGTCAGCGGCGATTAACAGAGCCAAAGCTGGGGTTTACGCACCCGCCGCGCTCCGCGTGCCTCTCGCCGCAGGCCAGTTCGCAGGGATTTAATGGTTATCGCTCTCCTGCCGCGCTGCCGCCCCGGCAGCGCTCGGCGGCCGCACAGAGCTGCAACCTGCTSCCTCTCGGGATGCACTCTCCAAATGGCCGTGCAGGATGATGGCGTTTCTCCCGGCACGTGTTCATTCCCCCTTTTCCATCGGGGCAGCATGAGCGACCGGCGCGGGCCACCCCCGGCACCGTGTCCCACTCCTTGGGCRCTGCCGCGCACGGGTGACGTGACGGGCCACCGCAGACTCTCTCCTCGCCTTGCAGGGCACCGGCAGAAGCTGGAGGAGCAAAGCAAGCCCTTCGCAGACCGCTACGGAGAGCTGGAGCGCCTGCGGCAGTCCATGAGGGTGACCCCCACGACGCCCACCCCCCGCGGCTCCCTCGGCACCCCCGGCCACTTCGGCTCGCAGGCCCAGACGCCCATTCAAGGTACCCATCCCGCCGCGCTGACAACCTCGAGGAGAACTGGGGGGGTTGGGGTTGGGGTTCGCGGCCCCGGGGCTCTTTTGGCTCCCGTTGTGCAAGCAGATCCCGGCACTTGGCGGCCACCCCGTAAACACAGGCGATTTCACCGCGCGCACCGTGTGATGTGGGGCGAGGGAAACCCGAGCAGCCATTTCTGGAGGAATGYGAGGCAGATCTAAGCGAGGCGCTTTGAATCCAGTCTCTTTTTTTGACATGAACGTACCCGCGGAGACAGTTAAGCGCCAGCCAGAAAGGGTGTATCGYGCTTCGCATGCTAATGCAGACGGTTTCTTATCTTGTTGTGCCGCGCGGGTGCCAAGGCTGGCGATGGAGCACGAACTGCAGCCGAGTCCTCGCGCGGCGCACGCACCTGCGCGGGCACCGCGGGCGCCGGGCCCTGCCGGGCACGAGCAGAGCCCTCGGGCGTCCCCGCGTCGCACCCAGGGAAGGTGCCGCCACGGCCCCTGCTCCTCCAGGTATTTACCTGCGAGCAGTCGGCCTGCTCTTATTGCCATACAGCTGCATTCCCACCCCAAACCAGGCACTGCGTTGGGAAACATCCAGGTGCTTTGCAATCCTGGACTTCCCAGCACATGCAAACCCCACCACGATGCGCTGAGGAAACCTTTTCTCCCGTCCGTGTGTCACACGTGCTCCTTTTCCCTGCTACTTTAATCCTGCTGTTGTTTGCCTTTGAAGATCAGGGAAGAGGCTAACAGGGATTTAAGGGATGCAAATTGAGCTGGCTGCGCTTGGGGTTTTGGTGAACTCCATCAGAGAGTTTCGGTCCTAAATTTTTCAAAAGCCTTCATGTTGCATTTTCAAATGCGATGCAGATGTTCGAAAACCTCGGTGTCGTTGGCAAAGAGGGTGGCTYGGGCACAACAAACATGTTTGAAAACGTTACCTGAACTGCAGAAGTTGCCCTGCTCCTCCCAATCCCAAAATTACCGTGAAGGTTTAATTTCTTTCTCATTGAAATGCAAATGTTTATGCTTGGAATTTTCATTGATATTAGTGCAGGTTATGAAAAGAAGCAGTTTGTGCAGGATTATTGTTTGATTTTTCACTGAGAGAGGAAGGGCTTCATAGGCTCATCTAGTTGGCTCTATAATAAAGAGATTCTTGAGGGGGGAAAAAAAATAGATGTGTATTTTAAATTAGCATGGTCTGCTGTGGTGCCAGCAACTCGAACAGCGCTGTTTGGAGCAAGTGCAGAGAATCAGGTGATGACACCGAATCAAAAAGAAAAATGAAACTGGCCCCAGTCACTCGTTGTGCCAAATTCCCAAATGCCAAATGACAGCGGGGAAGGAGACGCACAAAATTAGCCGTCTAAAACTGTTCCTTGCGGAGGAGATCCAAAACCTCGAGATGGCTGCGCAGTCAGTGCACCCGCTGCTCGTGATTCTGGGTGAAGTTGTTCAAATTGAAGGAACTGCCTTAAAATCATCATTCAGGCTGRCCTAACTGGGAGCAGGATCAGTTTAGTAATTTTGATCTCGCCTGTGCCCTTTTGACACAGCACTAACTGTAACCAATAATAATAATAAAAAAACACCCTGCTCGCACACACACAGCTTATTCACAGAGAGCACCATTTTCACCCCAGCAAGTGGAGCCCGGCCCGTGCCAAGAACAACACGGGAGTTAACAGGCCCGTAATTCTCACGACTTGGCACGTTCTTAGGTAACGCACATGAGACGCCGATTAGCGAAAGCACGGCGAGATGCAGGTTAGGAGGGCCGAGCAGGGCAGATCTCCAGCCCCAGCACCAGGTCCTCCCGGGCTGCYCAAACCCAGCACTGCTGGTGGTTGGAGGTGTTTGCTCCGGCTCCATCCCGCGGGATGCAGAGCAGCCCGAGGCTCGGGAGCGGAGCCTGGTCCTCTCCTTGGTGCTGGTGGCTACCAGCATTAAATGACACTCTGCCATTAAGTGAACCCCTGCCCAACCTGTGATGCTGACCCCACGGTGTCCCATGGGGTCTCCAGCATTGTCCCCCCGCAAGGGAGGCCACGAGGCTGCAGAGGAGACCGGGGCAAGGACGCAGGTATAAAYGGGAGAAGGATCTGGCCCTCGGCCATTTCCCGAAGACTTGCAGTAAAGCAGCCTCCGGAGGTTATAAATAGCCCCTGCGTAAGATGATCGTGCTGAGGTTAAATGGTCTCAAACCAAAAACCTCCTGGTAAGAGCAAACCAATCGTTTCTGAAGAGCATGCCAGGAAACATGGGAGGAGAGCGTGCCCAGCACTGTGGCCACCCGGGTCAGATCCTGCTCTCACTCTGGTTTCACACTGCTGGGTGTCAGTTTATCTTACCAGCTTTTTACTTTACACTTTGCCGATAAGAGAATCCATCCATTCCCATGCCTGCGCCCTAGTTAATTTTACTCCTCTAACTAGCTGTCCACACGGCAGATTTTATTCTCATTTCTCCACAGCCCTTGAGGGGGAAAAAGAGTGACTTTGTGTTCCCCGAGTGCTGGCCCGGGCACATAGGGGAGCCAGGACCCTCACGCACCCCTGGCTTGGGCAGAGCCATTTGCCTCCGGGGAGGATTTGGCCCAACGCCCCTCAGTGAGGTCTGAAAAAACGGAGGTTTTGCAGGGCTGGCTGTCTGGTCTCTGYGGTGAGACACCAAGCTGTCATTAGGATGGCTTGAAATGGTTCCTTATTACAGGGCACGCGAAGCCAGAGCCTTGCRTGCCTCACTTCAACAGTGGTCTTTTAGCTTAAAAAAAAAAAAAGAACAAAACCCAAACACATATCAAGGAGCTCTGGCAAGCGGCGCAGCCTGCTAAGGGAACTTGCTTCTGCCTCCCCCTCGGTGCTTCTCGGGGCCCTGGTGCTTTGGGGAAGTGACACACGTGCTTGGGGGGACCRCGAGGCTCCCTGCAGCCCCTGCTCCGTGTGGCGCTCGGCCCGGCCGTTGCCCGTAGCTCACGCTCCGTGTGGCGCTCGGCCCGGCCGTTGCCCGTAGCTCAC